TTCAGTTTAAGTAGGGATAAGCATAACACACACACACACACACACAGAGAGAGAGAGAGAGAGAGAGAGAGAGAGAGAGGGAGGGAGGGAGGGAGGGAGGGGGGGTTCTTTAAGTCCATAAAGTGCCTTTTTTATTTTATTGGGAAGGCATATCATTCTCTATTTGAATCTAAGTAACTTAAGTAGGTTTGTCGGTGTCGGTGCTTGGCGTGTTCGGTCCTTATTTCAGGCGGCCAAGAAAAAGGTGACTTCTCTACAGTCCTTTGCCCTTCCATTTTTTTGGTCGTTTTTTTTTTTTTTTGTGTATGTGTCTTCTTAGGGGTTTATGTTCAGCACAGAACGATCGAACTGCTAGTGGCGTTGGATTTTTTACTGAAAAAAATACCTTTGCAAATCACAAAATCAACCGTTATTAGTGTCAAATATGGGTTTGGCCTAGTTGCAAACCACCCCCATAGAGACAGCTATTACAAATTGTAAAGTACAGGTAAGTATACCTCTGTATGATGGAGTTCTAATCAACAGGTTTCCTTATCTGTCTTGTTCAAGCTCCAAGTTGAAACAACCTCTTCTTACTGTACAACATAAAACATAAATGCATGCATGTGGTACCAAGTGGGTGCCATTGTGTGATCTGTTTAAGATTTCTTCCTCTGTTTTTGTTATATCTAGTTATCTACTTATTTTCTTGCATCTTCGTTGTAAGTTTTTTACTAGCATAAGTGTTTATCTAGCATCTAGATGTTTTTCTTTCCTCCTCAACTGCATGTTTTGTACAAAATGTCCTTCACAGGCACCTTGCATCATTTTCATTGATGAAATAGATGCTGTGGGATCCACTAGAAAACAATGGGAAGGTCATACTAAGAAAACATTGCATCAACTACTTGTTGAAATGGATGGGTTTGAGCAGAATGAGGTACTGATACATATTGTTCCCTTTTCTGATAAACGATTCTGTGAATATCCCAACTCATATCTTCACTCTGTAACACTTCTATATAGGGTATAATACTGATGGCTGCGACGAACCTGCCAGATATTCTTGATCCAGCATTGACGAGACCTGGTAGATTCGATAGGTATGTAAGTCCTATGTTCTTAATTTGCTTTCATGAATATTGTATTTGGTTGTTAAGAACAAGAAATTAAATTCCTTCTCTTTTTCAAAGAACAAGATAAGTTTAATAAACATGTTACATGTGAACTAGTGAACTATATGTTTGAACTTAGATTGTTGAAACGATAGTTTATTTTCAAGTGGTTACCATTGTGGTGAGGCCGTGAGGGATGGAATTACCTAAGGGCTGTTTTTTCTAGGGGATTTGAAGAAATTCAAAAGAAAAGCACCTCCTCTGTTGTATGTTCATCTTGAAAGAGAATTCATTTCTCTGCCCTTCGCTTCAAAGAAAAGGAGGGGATACGAAATCCCTATGTCACCAGCCATCTCAGCAGATAATGGAACCTGATTCATGACTTTCCTGAGTTTCTATGAGTTTGGGAGTTCTGACAAACTACTAAAATGTTATAAAGATAGGAATTGAAAACCAAAGGAGCCAGTGTTTACTTGATGTATATAAAATTCTTTACACTTACCTCATTTCGTTTCCATCAAAATAACAAAGGATTTGCATGATCTTCTTTCATGGAGCATAATTCCTTGAGACCATAGACAGGTTTGCAATTTGTAAGGACGCAGATCTCAGGAACTCTGACATTACTAGCTTTACCAATTTGCATATTTGGCATCCAAACAGCCCCTAATAGTATTTGTATTTATTAACTCCATAACTTAATTTAAAGTTGATCCTAATTTGTTCGCTATAAACATGTAATATGCATAGGACCACTGATCTTCAACAGAATGAAATATATATTACAAAAACTTTCCCGTTGCCTTTTCACAGTGTAAAACATGTACCCTCTGATGGGGAGAAAAGGATCAGTTGCTTCAGCTTTCAAAGTAAACTTATATTGATGACTTGGTGCCTTATGTCAATATATAACAGCATCAGGTAAGAATCCTATGATTGTTTTTTTGAGTATTATGAGAGCTGTGTACTAGAAATGGAATCATATCCATTTGTTTCGTAACCTTTTATACAGTGAAGAGTGGAACAGTATACGTAGCCTCCCGTGGGTTATAGTTAAGCTGCATAAGCAGATGAAGGTGTAATCCTTACTAATGTAGTCCAGATATGTGCTGTTATAGCTGTATCTCATGAGTGAAATCTATATGGAAATTACTGCTTCGTCATATAGTTGGTCTCTGTCAATGTACTTTGTTAAAATTTACTTGGAAAACGAATTAACATATCATTTGGATTTGTATGCCAATAGAATATTTCAAGTGAAGGCTTAGATTACTACTTGTCATTTCTGAAATCTTTTTCTTTCTTTTTACCAAAGAATCACCAGTCAAAGACCGAGGATATCATTTAACTTAAATGATGGAATATGATTCTGACTTGATAAACTAGTACTTGCATGGATAACGTAAGTAGCATTATGGTGATTAGTCACAACTTATTAGCTTGATTTAACATTCTTCTTGTACAGAATCTAACTTGGAAATCCTTGTAAAGAGCAACCAGTATGGGCCGCACATCCACTAAAGTGTGATTGGTGCAGTGTCTGAAAAAGGCCTAGCAAAAATATTCTTGAGCACACAGCAAAAATGTCTTATAGATTAATTCATTATAACATTGAAGAATATTTTCCTGAATGCACACGGGTACGAGTTCTTAGATTTGTTTTTGTACTTGAAGCCAAAAATATTCTAACATTACTGTCTTTTAGATTGTTGTCCCAAGTCCTGATGTGCGAGGAAGACAAGAAATTTTAGAGCTCTATTTGCTGGACAAGCCACTGGCTGATGATGTAGATATCAAAACTTTTGCTCGTGGTACTCCCGGTTTTAATGGCGCAGGTACTCTATGTTGCTGGCTTCAACTATTAGCTTCACATGATTAATCTATTCTGACATTTCTCAATCGTGTTGCTACTATCTTAATCTTCAAATAATACAAAATCACTGCTCTTCCCTTTTTCTTATCATAATGATTCAAGTGGCACTTCTCAAAGGTAATCTAATGATCATTATAAATGCTTTCCGGTCATGCTGTTGTTGGCCATAGATATGGGTGGAATCAAATCGAGTACTACAATATTCAAATTCAGTCCAGTCTGGGATATTCTAATTCGTATTCGAATTTGATTCGAATACTAAAAACTGTTTGACTTCAATTTGTTTATGTATATCAATGGTTGGTAATTATTCATGGATATTCATTTACCAGCAGCTGACAGCCTGACATTTTTCTTTTGCATTATTCGTTAAATATTCAATAAATATTTGTTAATTATTCAAAATTTAAAAAAACCAGTTTAAACAATTTTATATCAATATATGCATACCACTAGAGTAAGTTAATATAACACTAGAGTAAGTTAATATATTTTTATTACCAAAACTAGTTTCAGCACGGAGTCTTAAAGTATTACTGAAATCTGAACATTTTAAGATATGATTACCAATAAATCGCTTATAAAACTAATTTTTCCCCTCAAGTGAGAATTCTACTATTACACAAAGAATTAGTTTTTTGCCAGTTCAATGCATAAAATTTAGTATTAGAAGTCACAAGGAAAGTTTTATCAACAATATAATTTAACTGACTTTTCTATAGTATTATATACTCTAAAATTTTAATTTTGTAAAACTGTTCTCCCACGCAACCATTCAATTCTATAAAAGAAATATTTTTCCCTTTTGAAAAGATTTATTATTTAGAAGCAAAAAAATAAATACTACAGTTTTAAATGAGTCATAATGGCTAATCAACTCAGATACATGTATCTAATTAAGTTGCGTGGGAACATAATTACAATGTTGTTATCTAATTAAGTTGTAATACTATAATTAAGTTGAAAACTGAAAAAATGGTTCAGAAAGCACGGAACATAATTACAATGTTGTTATCTAATTAAGTTGTAATACTATAACTTTAGCACTTGTTTTCTTTAATCTAAATTTTATATTATAAGTTAAAATTATACCAAATAATATTCACATAACCCACTGCGATAACGTAGCATTATTTTTCAAGACTTTATAGGACATCAAAAACATGAGAAACAACATAATCATAAGTGACATTAAATAAGTAGAAAACAAAATACACTCAGTTAGCACTTAAGAAGAGCATTGGAGTATTAATTAAAAACAAATAATAAGAAGCATTTAGTATCAACAATTCCTTTATATGAGGAGAAATTTTCAATATAGACCCACTTTCATTTTTACTTCCAAAAATCAACCTACTCACAACTTATTTACAGTAATCGACCCAGTCTTGACTATGTCAGTAGCGCGGCCAAAAATTGGGTCAATTTCTAGAAAAAAGATCTTCGTAAATAGTCGGGGTTGGCGACCCCGTCTAATTACTAATTAGAAACCTCTTCTAATTAGTCGGGGTTGCTAACCCTAACTATTTGGGTTTGAGTTCTAAACAGTCAGAGTTGGAAACCCTGCTTATTTAGTTATATCTTCTAAATAGTGAGGGTTGTCAACCCCAACTATTTGTCAGAGAGCGCCCACACTTGACCAAATTTTGAGCTCGAAAATTTGGCTAAGGGAAGCCCCGACTATTTGGCAAAGAGCTCTCACTTGTGAGCCAAATTTTCGAGCTTGAAAATTTGGCTAAGGGAACCAAATAGTCGAGGTTGTCAACCTTAGTAGAGCGTCCAACCCTGAGCCCATTTTCGAGCTTGAAAGTTTGGCTAAGGCAACAAAGTAGTCGGGGTTGCCATCCCCGACTATTTGGCAGAGAGCACGCATCTCCGTTTTCTAGTCTTCAGAAATTCTCTTGCTACACATATATTGGTCTATAACCAATTTCAATCACAAATAAACACATATAACTGCATGTATATCCCATCCATAACTAATTTCATTCACAAACAAACATGTAATTATCCATAATAAGATTTCAATCGTAGACATTTAGTCCAAATCAAGGACTCCTCATCGTAAACATCATAAAACAACTCATCGTCCCTCTCCCTCTCCCTCTCCCTCTTCTTCCTCTCTTTCGTCCTTGTTAACATGAGCTTGGATGATCTCATTGTCCGGTTGTGTGTGAATTTGTGAAGGTATGACATTCTCCTCGATTTGAATCCGCAGTGAACGTCCGGCTTCGTCATGTGCACAACTTGAGCCTTCCCTAGTATGTCCTCGAAACCTTCGACGCTCGTACACTAGGAGTCGTTCTTGACGTCCATCATGATCTGCATGACACGTCTTTCTAAGAGCGGATTGAATCTTTCTTATTATGCTAACAAATGCATTCCTCGCCCCTTGCTTAGAAGTCGATCTCAAGGAATCATGTGCAATAGAAGCCGCCTCATCGAGTTCTTATACCTACGAGATAACAATTGAAAGAAAATTATTAGCAAAATAATACTAATAAAAATAATAATCACAAAATAAGTGTAGATCTTGCCTATCTACTTACCAATGTTCTCTTAATTGGACTCCTCGGTATGTATGCGGTATGTGCTTTGTTCTTCTAATATATCCATCAATGAGTAATCCCTAAACACCAACATATGTACACATCTGTGTCTGGTGCGTCACCTCTCTCTTTCAATAACCTCAAAGCATAGAATCCGGACTCTAGCAAGCCATATACCTTCATCTCTACAAATATTTGGTAGTGAAGCTAAAACTTGTTCACAGGGCATCCACTTGACCTATAAAAAATATTACAAAAATTTACATATTAGTACCATATAATATATTGCTTCAATATAGTTAGATATTGTGATTTTATACCTGTTCATTCTCCATTTGATCAAGCTTGTTTCTGAAAAAAAAATTTGTGACCCTTTGGGGAGCTTTTCCAATATCTAGAGACATTCCATCTATTTGATATATAAATATTTAGCATAGACTGAAATATATATTAGAAATTACATGTAATCATACATATTAGAGATAAAATAAATATTAGAATTTCATATACTTGCATCCTAATGGAATATGACCATCAAGAAATCAGGTCTTCTTCAAATCTGGAGTTTCACTATGCCATCACTCCCATAACCGTATTTGCATCAAATTGATGCAACTATCTAACATGCACTGAATCATTAGTTGAATCCGGATATAGAGTGGTACCGATCATATGCATTATATACGCCCGAGCATATATCTTGATCTTACCACCTTTCATATTAGGAGCTTGTCCCGGTAAACTTCACACACTCTCATCCAATTAAAGTCATCGGTACATGTAACAACATTCACATCTACTTTGAGGCCAAATATAACTCTTACATTTTGCAGAGTAATAGTTGACTCTCCTTGTCGCATGTGGAATGTGTGTCTCGGGCCTCCATCGTTCAATCAAAGCTGTTAAGAGAGGCCAATCAAATCTTACCCATTGTAACTTTGAACATTCAAAAAAGTTCGCTTGACGATCATAATATTGAACACGTGGATCCATCAAATCCCAACTCGAATTTGCACGAGTATGATCAATTACAGTAATGCTCGGGGCCTCTATATATATTTAAATATAAATATATATTAGATACAACACTCGTTTTAAGCATTCAAAATAAGATTGAAAATTTAAAATGTTTGAAAATAATAAAAATTTTACCTCCCCAAAGTTTATCTTCGCGGATCGGTGTCAATCTTGGTCGTATAGGACCCCATATGTCAATGATCCCGCATGCATGTTGTAAATGTCTGCACATATAAAGTAAAATGTGTTAGTATTATGTTATAGTATATATTGAATTAGAAATAACTTACAGAATATGAGAGTATGCATTGACTTACAAATTACATTAGAATAAAATTATAAAGTAAATAAATTTTACCCATTAATTGCTATCTATTCAGATTGGTAGGACTCTATTATGGCCCAGTCATCTACAATATCCACACCTGTTTTACTTTGGAGCTCATTTTCATCCGTCATCCATCATACTTCTTATGCGTAGTGATCGCGGACTTCTGACTTGTCTCTTATAGTTAGGAGGTAACAAATGCAGCCCGTTATAGGGTGACCAGTGCCTACTATCTACAATTGGATGGAAACACAGCTTGTATGTATCTCTATAGTCCACCACCTATAAAGACACAATCACCTCAAAGATAAATGAAAAACCTAAACTCTAATTTCAAACCCTAGAATTTCTATTTCAATTAAAGCCTACCATACACAAAGACTCATAATCACCACAAAGATATCTAATTAACATCCAATTTCAAACCCTAGGTGTTAACAAAACCCTAGATTATTTTGAAGAAAAAAAAACTCTAGATTTATATGGTGAAGAAGAGTAAAGAAAGAGAAACAACCCTTGACTATATTTTTTAAGTGTCAAGCCCCATACTAAGTTGTCCAAGTTGCCAACCCCGATTATTTTATGACCTTAGAATAATTTTCGAAGGAGGGCGATTGGATGCAAGGCTGGTTCGAAATTTTTTGATAAAATAGTTGGGTTGGAAACCCCGATTATTTAGGAAATAAATCTAGCTCAACTCTACATAGTTGGGGTTGACAATCCCGACTAATTAGAAGGGGCTTCTACTTAGTCGGGGTCGTTAACTCCGATTATTTACGAAGAATTTTTTTAAGAAATCGATTCAATTTTTGGCTGCGCTGCTGATATAGTCAATAGTGGGTTGATTTCTATAAATAAAATAGGAGTGGGTTCATTTTTGGGGATAAAATGGGAATGGATCTATATTGAAAATGTATCCTTTATATAAAAACGTTAATTATGTTGTGAAACTACATGTGCTCCCCCTAATTCTAAGAGAGAAGACTTATGCTCAATGTGTGATGGATAATGACCATCTAAATTCCCAAATAAAAATATTTTCTCAAACGTAAATGAAATAGCCAATCTTTTCGCTCTCTGCTTGAACCGTTTCCCCTGCAAGTTGTGCATATACCAGTGAAACAAAAGTCGCCCATTGTTAGATTTCCATTTGAAATCCAACCATTGCATAATAGAGTCCCAAAAAATTTGTGAACACTCGTAGTCAGAGAATAAGTGTTGATATAATAATAAAATACTAAATTTCCTCAAACAGTGGTCATGTATTAAAATTAGTTGTTAATTATGTATAATATAATCAATATTCTATTTTCTTGTGTTATCTAATTTTTTCATGTTTATGGATGATTCAACATTGCGTTGTATAATCAAAGTTGCAATATCTAACTAATTCAAAATTTTTTTTGTGTTATCTAGTTTAACTATTTATATATGATTCAACATTGAACCTATTTTTATAAAACTTATCTTTTCTCTACTTCTCAAACGTGTCATTTATTGAAGGTTACATTAACTAATGCACTCTTTGGTTAACCTAGACTTAAGTTTATTTCAAAACTTAAACATAGGATTCAAAGTGTACTTGATATAATATGATCAGTGTAATCAACTGATCCAATGAGAGTTTTCTTGTGGATGTGACTATATATCACAAGATAAATCTACAAATCACGTTTGCGTAATTGTTTTAGTTGATAGACCTTAGTTATATATGATGGAGGAAATGTTGTCATATGCAATGCTTCTCGAGTGTTTTGTATATTATTCTATTATAAAAGAGTTTATTTTCATTCTTGATCTTCTATATGCCATGTAACTATTCATGGTGATTTTTCTTGATAAAATATGTTTTTTGTGGTAATACAAATTAAAAAAATTATAGTGACAATTATAAAAGGAAAAAAATTCTCGCAGCATGGCGCAGTTATAACACTAGTTAAAAAGAAAAAAAAAGCATTCAATGTCAACAATTAGTTTATCGAAAAACATCGACTATGTTGTAAAACTACATGTATTCCCCATAATTCTAAGAGAGAAGTCTTATGCTCAAAGCGATGGATAATGACCATCTAAATTCCCAAGAGGACTCTCTCCACTAATTGTGTCTATTTCCCTCCATGCATCTTTCGTGTCTATTTCCCTCCATCTTTAATTGCAACAAAGGATGGCGGTGCTTTTTACCCCAAATATGAAAGTCACTTGGTAGAAGCACACTAGCAAAACTTAAAAATGCAAGTTCATATCCCATACTCTAGCAAAACTGAAAATACAATCAATCTGCTAAAGGAATCGTGAAGTTACATGTCATGTTTTTAAAGTTACATGTCATGTTTCTTGGAGAAAGTTCAAATGAATGTAAAGAATAAAAGAAAACGAGGCATATAATAATACACTTTCTTGCTTGATAAAGGAGAATGGTAGCACCTAAATTTCACATTCATATTTCAATTCTGCATAGAAATTAAGAAGTTCTACATATTTTCATGCGTTAACAAAATTTGCCACTCTAGACTGATGGAAGAGTCGCCTAGTACTCATGATAATGTAAACAATAACCAAATCTTCTAACTAACACCTAGATAAGAAAAAAAATCAAAACCATCAAAGGTAACAACTATTAGAAACAAAAATGAAAAAATTATCCTTAAATTATAATGTCTAGTCTTCATGAAAACTTTATCGAATAATCTTCATAGGAGCAAATTAGACCCCCGAAAGATGAATTACAGCAACGTCATTCCATGCAGCTCTAAATTTGGTCATCCATTCTGATTTATGTTCAGATTCAAATGAAAAGAAAGCAAAATCTGCTGAAGTCAAATATTGGACAAGCTCAGGATGGTAGAATTATGCAACTACAAAACTTTATTTTCTCTCATATCAAATGAGCAAAAAGTTTTTGTGGTGACTTATGAAAGACGACATGCATAAAATTTAACAAATTAATTTAAAAAAGAAAAAAAATGAAAGTTTGCAAGGAGAAAAATAAGTGAAAAAAGAAATGGTGCTGCCATTTATGGACTGGGTTTCTCTGCAGTAACCGATATGTGCATGTAGACTTAAACATATTCACTTAAAGATCCAAAAAAAGGCAATCATAAGGTTTTTGACATGAATTGTATGCACTAAAATGCTAATGTAAACTATATCCATACAAATAATAGTTTATAGAAACAAAATATCTACAAATGAAGCTTACACCCGAATACAAATGACATCAAGTTTGATTTCCTATAATACTAAAGAATTTTTTTACTTGAATGCATATCATAATTTGAATAAGATACTCTATTTAAAACCCCACTTTTAATATTGTATATGTAAAAGTCCAGACAATTTGATCCTACTATCTCCATTTTTAAAGCAATTTCTAAGTATTGTAGTTGGATTTAAAGAACGTGCCGAACTTCTCTCACATTGAAAAAACCAAATAAAATTATAATGAACATAAATCGGTTATAGTATGACATGGATGTAAACCAAATTCCATCGTTATTTGTAAGTTCAAAAGAACTCAGTTTTGTTTTTCTCAAAAAGATTATTTAGACATTCTGCATAAACCTGTCAATTGAACGAGAGAAACTCATAAAACAAAGATGCAAAAAGCAGTGAAAAATAAACATAAATGATTTCATTAATTGAGACCACCTTTGCATGCATTAAAGCTACTTGTATTATCAAATACCATTCTTTTAATAACTTCAGCACAAACACATTAAAACAATGCAAGTTCACATATTAATTCTAGTCCATTAGATAAATCAACACCATACATATTCAAAAACATTTACCACATATAGTGTCAATGGCAGCCCCGACTGGATCTTCACAAGGCATTTTGTACGGTATGAGGACATGCCTAAATCCTACAACAACCTAAATTATAAACAGTAAACCAGAACTCCCAAAGCCCCACTAAAAAATTAGATAATCCTTGAAGACAATGCAAAGGATTCCTAGGTGTACATAATTGTTACGCATAGTAATTGATCAATTTTGCATTCGGATAAAAATAATCTCAATATAGAAAATAGAAATTCTCGTATGAATTTAATCAGAAAATCAATAGAAGCCGTTAAGATATTAATGATATTTAGAATTAGGAGATACTATGAAATATTGTTGAAATATTGTAAGATGTGATAGATATGATTTTATCTCATATCTATTTTGTAATATTCTCCTAATCTCTATTTAAGAGAGGTTAGGGTTAAAAGAACAATAACTTTGACTTTTCTATTTCTCTACAGGAGCAAAATTCAAACACCTTAATTGCAAATAAAAAAACTCAATAGAAAACAGAGGTAAAAGTATAAAATACCTAAAGTGAAAAAAAGGAGTCACGTTTCCATCATGCCAAAATTGCCGCAAGTGCCAAAGTGCTGAAACTAAATTGTTAGTGAATGAAAGTAGTCCTAAGAAATACCATTAAAAAGGTGAAGAATTAGAGACCATAAAGAGAAATATGGAAAAAGTGATTATCTATTAAAGAGATTTGATTGACACTGGGTTTGAACAGCCTTTGAACAGAAAGAGCAGAGTTGGCGGATTTATGATTGGATTAATAAACACTCTTGCCAAAAAAATAAGAGTATGGTTGAATTGAGGCGTTGTGAAAGAATGAGAAAGAACGAAATTTTTGGATGTGTTGCTAAAGTGGGAAGACAAAAATGATAATTAGGAATACAGGGAGAGGGACGAGAGCACAGAGAGGAAGGCAAGTTCGTGAATTTGAGGGGGTGTTGAAAAATATTGGTGGGTGAAATCCACCTCTTTTATTATTCATCATGAGAGATATAAATATACAAGAGGTTTACATGGAAAACTAAGTTAGGTAACAATCCTAACGTAATTCAATCACCAAGATTCTTTCCTAACAAAACTAAGTTAGG